TTTTGTTCCTGATTTACAGCATCCGCAGTTCTTTTGGTTTTTATTTATCATTTATATGTCATCCCTCAGCATCCTGTACCTCTCCTTTTGGTTTAGCTCAGTTGGTTGGATGACTGTATCTAATGCAGAGTGATGCCAACAGAATGAGTTCGATCCTGCCACCAGCTGCAGTTGCTATTAAGGACTCTCCTTCTCAACCTCTCTCTCACTGTCTGAGATGTGGTGACCCTCAGGTTAAATCTGCAACAGTGCTCTCTCTCGGTCTCTCTCTCTAAAGAGAGCGCGGCCGTATGTGTTGATAAAACCCTGGCAACTTTTACTTTTTGAGGTACAGTTAATAGTTTATTTATCTTCAATAACCAGACTATGTTGGAGATTTGTGATCACAGCTTCGAATCATTCTTCATCTTCCTGTTCTCTTACCTCTTCAATGGTTGTATGTAGCTGGAAAATCTGACCCTCTCCCTCCACCTGTCGGACACAGATTTTGCAGGAGAATTCAGTTGATGCCAGGCTGTATCGCTCTAGTGAGAAGGTGCAGTGCAGTGCTCTCTGGGTACCACTCCAGATATGGTAAAATGGGATTTCCTGGAATACACAAGAGGCCGAAAGAGAGAAAGTGAGAGATAGAGAGAGAGGAGAGGGAGAGGAAAGGGAGAGTAGTGAGAAAGGGAAGAGCAAAAGGGAAAAGGAAAGAGAGAGAGAGACAGGAAAAATGGGGGAGTGAGAGAGCAGAAAGGGAAAGGAGGGAGAGAGGACAGGGCAGAGAGGATGAATGAGATGAGATTGGAGAGAGAGGAGAGCAAGACAGGAGAGGGAGAGTGACACTTCATTATTTTCATTCAATCTATTCATTGAGAGAAACAGGAACGGTTGAAAAATAAATCAATATAAAAATGTTGCAAATTTTGGGACATATCTAAAACAAATCTTTCTGAACTGCGAAACCCTGGGGTTAGGGATATGGGGAACACAGAATTGAGGAGAGTTATGATTTCTCTCTATCCCTTATTTGTTGAGTGACCTTTTATTTCTCACTAAAAGAAAATATCAAATTGTTTTATGTTTTAGTTTGAACAGAGGACATGAAACTCCTGGCAACTGTGTCAGTATTTACAAGAGGTCCCCAGGGGGGAGTGTGTCAGTATTTACAGGGTACACCCAGGGGGGAGTGTGTTAATATTTATAGGGTACACCGAGGGGGGAGTGTGTCAGTATTTACAGGGTACACCCAGGGGGAGTGTGTCAGTATTTACAGGGTACACCCAGGGGAGAGTGTGTCAGTATTTACAGGGGGGTCCCAGGAGGGAGTGTGTCAGTATTTACAGGGTACACCCAGGGGGGAGTGTGTCAGTATTTACAGGGTACACCCAGGAGGGAGTGTGTCAGTATTTACAGGGTGCACCCAGGGGGAGTGTCAGTATTTACAGGGCACACCCAGGGGGAATGTGTCAGTATTTACAGGGTGCACCCAGAGGGGAGTGTGTCAGTATTTACAGGGTACACCCGGGGGGGTGTGTGTCAGTATTTACAGGGCACACCCAGGGGGAATGCGTCAGTATTTACAGGGGGCACCCAGTGGGGAGTGTGTCAGTATTTACAGGGTGCACCCAGGGGGAAGTGTGTCAGTATTTACAGGGTAAACTAAGCTGGGGGTGTGTCAGTATTTACAGGGTGCACCCAGAGGCGAGTGTGTCAGTATTTACAGGGTACACCCAGGGGGGAGTGTTAGTATTTACAGGGGTGTCCCAGGGGGGAGTGTGTCAGTATTTACAGTGTACATCCAGGGGGGAGTGTGTCAATATTTACAGGATACACTCGGGGGAGTGTGTCAGTATTTACAGGGGGTCCCCTGGAAAGTGTTTGTCAGTATTGCAGATCTCCTTGGTGGGGGGGGTGGGTGCGGTGGTGTGTGGAGGGCGATGACCGAGGATAAGTTGAACTGGAATTAAAATTTCAATTATTATCCTTCCAAGTTTGGCCAGAATTGATAACACAACAGAATGACTGGCTCAGCCATGTCAGAGGGAGCTTTGACTCAATCACATTGACGGGGTCTCGAGTCACATGTAGACTTGACCAGGTAAACACAGCAGATCTCCTTCCCTAAAAGACATGACAATATGATTGCTTCATGGCATCTGTACTGAGACTAGCGTTTAATTCTGCAATTATTTAATTAGTTGGATTTAAATTCCCAAAATGCTTCGCTAGAATTTGAACCCATTTCTTTATGAAAGAAAGCACGTCTCTGTATTATTTGGCCAGTGACTAATTCAGTGGTGATTCCTCTGCGAAGCTTTTAATCTGTTTTTGTGACAATCCTGAGACGATCATTTTAAGCCAACTTCAAGAAGCATGTTTAACAGAGCTACAGCATATCAGAGGCTGAGAACGTGAATAACAAATTGGCAAACCAGCAAACACTTCTATCTAGAAGGACAGCAGTAGCAGATACATGGGAACACAGCCATCTGAAAGTTCACCTCCACGTAACTCTTGATTCTGACTTGGAAATATATCACCATTCCTCCAGTGTCACTGGGTCAAAATCCTGCAATTCCCTAACTGTATTGTGGGTGTCCCTATATCCCTGCCACTGCAGCGGTTCAAAAAGATAACTCACCACCACCTTGTCAATCAGAATTAGGGATGGGAAATGGGCATGTTGGCTCAGCTAGCAATGGCACTTAAAAAAAAGTCATTCATGGGAAGTGGTTATTGCTGGCTGGACCAGCAATGTCTTGCTAATTGCCCAGGAGAAGGTGGTGATGAGCTGCCTTCTTGAACCACTGCAGTCCATTTGGAACAGGTAGACCCTTAATGCTGTTAGGAAGAAATTTTGATGCAATGACAGCGAAGGAATGGCGATATATTTCCAAGTCAGGATGGCGAGTGGCTCGGAGGGGAACTTGCAAGGGAGTAGTGTTCCCATGTATCTGCTGCCCTTGTCTTTCTAGATGGACCTGGTTGAGAGCTTGGGAAGTGGTATCTAAGGAGTCTTGGTGAAATTCCCATGAATTAATGAACTAAAATTACACATTACTAGGTAGCCCCAGGGAATACATTGGCTTCATCTGAAATCTGTTACAAGGTACGTCACAATTGGGAATTAACAGCAAGGAACAGCAAGGAGAAATACCCATGTGTGGCAACAAAAGAAGGCAAATGATTGTAAGTAAGTTTAACCCTGGATGGTGTCCCCAGCTGCATCTAGTCGCTGTGTTGCCTCCTACACAGTGACTCAGTGGTTAGTACTGCTGCCTCACAGCACCAGGGACCCAGGTGCGATTCCAGCCTCACTCTCTTTGTGTCTGTGTGCATTTTCTCTGGGTGCTTCTGTTTCCTCTCACATACCAAGATGTGCAAGATATGGCCATGCTAAATTACCCATAGTGTCCAGGGATATGCAGGTTAGGTGGGTTTAGCCATGGGAAATGCAGGGTTACAGGTACAGGGTGGGGGACAATGGGACTGGGTGGGATGCTCTTCGGAGGGGCGGTGTGGACTGGATGGACTGAACAGCTTCTACACTGCAGGGATTCTATAATACACGAGAAAATTATCAAAAAGGTGTGCACTCCATGCCTCTACATTGCTGGCCACAGTTTCCTTAGAAACTTGACCCTGTGGCAGTTTTCCTGGCTAGCAGAGACAAGCATGACATTAAGTATTTAATATTACTAGTAGGGGAGGAAATAATTTATATTTCAGTGTCAAAATCTCACCAGGTATGTGCAGGAAAACTAGGTCAGAAGGCACTGGATTTTTCAGAACTCTAAAACTTCTCCCTTCAGAATTCATTACCTTCTCTCTTCTAAAGGCTGACTCTGAAATGTGACTCAATACAGCCTTTGCTCACAAAACCAACTGAGGAGCCCTGTTCAACCAAGGGAGGCATCACAATTCGGACATTTTCAACAGTGAGACACTGGGCATTAGTTGGGGGGGTGGTGCTAGTTGGGGGGGTGGGTACGCGAGCGGGAATCCTCATTGACAGCTTACCTCTCCACCAGCTGGAGACCTCTGACCTCACTGCCGAGGTCAGCTCACTCAACACCGGCAGTGAGTCGCACTCGGAATGCCGCGCGGTGCATTGAGTGAGGTCAACATATACTCGCTGTCACGACTCAGCAATTTTGAACCAAAGGCGTGCAGGGTCACAGTCGTGTTGGGAGATCGTTTCGGCCTGAGAAATGTGTTCATGCAGAGGGTTGTGTAAATAATTGAAAATCTCTCTGCCTGAGGATTGTGGAGTCTCCAGCGCTGAATATATTCCCAGCACGGGAAGAGCGAGCGATGAGGGAGCTGCCCTGATATCTCTGGCAGTGAGAACATACAGCTCAGGTCTTCCGGAGAGCGAGCTAAGGACTCGTCAATGCCTGCTGAAGTTTTAACATAATTCCTTCATTTTTCTAGTTAAAGTTAAGAGGGACTTTAATATTAAATATAACCTTATTTCTTTTTTTCCTACTTATTCTGTGAAGGTGATGCTTAACATTTTAACTGTATTTCTCTTACGACTTTGCACCTGCATTTTTTGTACCTCTGTCCATTTGTACCTAAGAAAACACCGTGTGTGGTGACATTATACACTTTTCACTGTACTCCTGTACTCAAGTACACGTGACAATAAAGCCCAAATCAAAATCCAATGTGTAAGGCTGGGACAGGCCTCTCAGGCAAGATAAAACGATAAGCTGTCGGACCAGAAACAGGCCATTCAGCCCATCAAGTTAGATTCACTACAGATTAAAATTGTGGTTGATCTGATAATCCTGAACTCTATTTTCCTGTCTTTTCTCTTTGCCTTCCCTGATTAAAAATCAAGGCATGTGGAGGGAGGGCAGGCAGGAAACTGGAGCTGAGGCAGAAGATTGACCATGATCGTATAGAATGGTGGACACCATTCTCCACAAAGAAAGCCATCAACAAATGCACAGAACTTGACCCCATATACACTCCACTGCGAAGGAAAACTGGAAGTGAGGTAATCCAGCTCAACAGACACCAGAGTTTAAATAACAGGTGGGAAAACACAACGGCGCTTCATTGGAGGCTGCACTGATGATGTTACCCAGCAGGGTAATGAAACGTCTGTGAAACAACAAACCAACTCGCGAGTCAACCAACCACAAGAATGGTGTACAGGTTAAAGGGGCCGAATGATCTACTCCTGCCCATATTTCCTCTGTTTATTTACACCTCCCCAGCAGACAGGGCAGTGCCACAAAATACTCAACCACTACAATCTATATAGACACATGGAGGAACCTGTCCAGTCTGAGGTTTGTTCAGTTCCTAACTGTCAGTGGGATAGTAACAAAAACGTGGGAGACTTTACTCTGACTTCCCCATGCCCTTTCTCAACTATCAGTTTTAATCAGTCTATGGTAAGGATGTGGCACTAGAAGCTATCAAGGAGCAGGCTGAGGGCTGAATGGGAGGTTGCAAGTTACTGATTCCCAACAATCCAACAGACAAATAAATACTTTCAGTTCAGTTGCTGTTCTTGCTCCAGCTGAACATAAAATTCTGAATGAATAAGTCAAAGTGCAAACAACAAGTTCTTTATTCTCTGCAAGCGGTGCTGGAGGCGTGACAATTTAAGCCCTACCTGATATTTGGCGAGCAATTTGCTTCTCCACAGTGAGTGGGGGATATTGTGGATGGAAAGCCGAAGATTGTGGTAACTGTCCTTGAACAGCAGCATCTTGGGTTCCTCAAGCAGGTAACCTCCCAGAGTCCTCTCCAGCTCCAGCACTTCCTGTTGGGAGACAGATGAAAGAAAACAAAAAATGTGAAAACGGTCAGCTTTTAATCGATTCATTGATGAAAGCTGGAGAACCTCAGCAGGTCTGACAGCATCTGTGGAGACAGAAACAGAATTAACGCTTCAAGTCCAGTATGACTCTGGTTCAGACTAGAGTTCCTATCGAGAGTCATACTGGACTCGGAACTTTAACTCTGTTTCTCTCTCTACAGATGCTGCCAGATCTGCTGAGTTTCTCCAGCATTCTCTGTAATTGTTTCAGATGAGTAGAAAAGATTAAGAGGGATATAGGACAAATGCAGGCAAATGGGACCAGTTTAGTTTGCGAAATCTGTTTGGCGTGGACAAGTTGGGCCGAAGGCTCTGTTTCCATCCTGTATGACTCTATGATTTCCAGTGTCTGCAATATTTTGCTTTTATTTTACTGATTGAGTGGTAGCCTTGGGGGAACTGGAATCTGTCACCTTAAACCAGCCTGGGCCACAACCAACGCCTTACAGAACTTTTGTTGACCAAGAACATGTGTCCTCAGATACACAGTGTGGTGAAATTCTCTACCCCAGAGGGCTGTGGAAGGCTGGTTATTAAGTAAATTGGATTGTGAGATTTCTACTTGCTGGTGACATCAAAGGTTATGGGGATAGTGTGGGAATATGCTGTTGAGGTAGATGATCAGCCTTGATTGAGAACAGCAGAGTAGGTTGGAGGAGATGAATGGCCTGTTCTTGTGTCCACAGTCATTTGGCCCATCTAGTCTACACTGGCATTTATATTCCTCTCTTCCATTCAGCAATATCTTACCATTCTCCTTTCTCTCATGCACTCATCTAGTTGCCTCTTGAATGCATCTAAGCTAATTACCCAGAGACGCTCTGAGATTGAGGGTTTTGTGTCCCAATCATTCTCTTGAGTAAAGAAATTCCTCCTTGTTTTTCCCCCTGGATTTAGTAACTATCTTGTTGTCATGACCCCTGGCTTTGGATTCTTCCACAAATGGATACACTTCTCCATATCCACCTTGGCCAACCCATTCACAAAAGCACAGAGCTGTTCCACTACTGAGGAGGCCATTTGTTCCATCATTTCTGCAGCTGTTCTATCCCCGAGTGCCAATCTCCTGGCTTTTCCCCATATTCCTGCACACTACTTCCGTCCAAATACCATATTCATCAGACAGGTGGACTTTGAATGCTCCCACTGAGGCACTGAGGGCAATAGATGGTACACGCTCCATTTCAACTCAGTTTCCAGGAAGTGTGAACAAAGATTCAAAGGACAAACACATCGATGCAGGAATTCTGAAATAAACTCAGAAAATGAAGGCCAGGCAGCACCTGAAGAGGGGGGAGATCCAGTGGTGTTAACATTTCAGGTTTAAACCTTCCATTGGGGCAGGGAGAAGTTAGGGATTTATCTGTCTTGAAGCAAGTACAGAACCAGAGTGAAGAACAAGGGTGGCACGGTGGCTCAGTGGTTAGCACTGCTGCCTCCCAGCGTCAGGGACCTGGGTTCAATTCCACCATCAGGCAACTGACTGTGTGGAGTTTGCACATTCTCCCTGTGTCTGCATGAGTTTCCGCCCACAGTCCAAAGATGTGCAGGTTAGGGTGGACTGGCAATGCTAAATTGTCCCATAGTCTCCAGGGATGTGCAGGCTCGGATTAGCCATGAGAAATGCAGGGTTAGAGGGTTAAGGTTGGTCTGGGTGGGATGCTCTTCGGAGGGATGGTGTGGACTTGATGGGCCAAATGGCCTGCTCCCACAATGTAGGGACTTTCTATGACGTATGAACAAGAATGACCTTGATCATGGTAGGAAACTCACAGGAAGACATCCAACATGTTTCAGGGATGTTCCCTAAATCATTCTTGAAGAGGTCAAATGACTCAAAGGAGGCTCTGACTAGTGATTGGCCAAAATCTGGAAGATTAATTTGGGAAAGAATGGAACATGCGAAGACCCTTCAGCAGGAACATGTGGAGGGGGACTTGAGACCTTGGAAGGAGCATGTAAACCTCCAACCTACCTGACCCTTCACAAGAAGTTATAACTATCTTATAGTTATTAATAAATCCAGTGGGTAAAGTAAGGATGAATGTATTTACATGCGGCAGTGTCTGCACACCATGGGTTGTGTTTATCAGGCATCTCAGAATCCAGTCAACCCGAAAGAGAAGTCAGTCACCCTTGATGCTGATTGGCCCATTTAAGAGACAACCACTGAGGGAGGAGTCATGTGACCGACTTGTCAAGTCAAGGGCGGAGTTAGACCCTAACATGATACACTGCTGAATGGGGTAACGAAGCATGTAAATACCATGTAATGTACTTTGTCAATAAGTGTTATTGGTTGCAATAAAACATTGTGTTCTATAAGTTAACCAGTACAGCCAAGCTTTCAAATCATTACAGCCTGGACGGTGCAGGGAGTGATTAAATGATAAAAGGGATGATGGTAGGAGAGGGGAAAAAAAGGGTGATAATGGGACAGGAAGGAGAGGAATAGATGAGTGTAGTGGAGATGTAAACAGCTGAAACAGATCCTGCATGAAATCGGAGGGGCAGTTCCAATCTGAAGTTATCAAAATCAATATCCAGAAGGTTTTAATTCCCTGATAAAGACCTTGCTGTGTGACGCTAAAACAAAAACAAGGCGATAAAGAGAGGGTCACTTTCACAAAGAGGCATGTCAAAAGCTGAGAATGGATGTGGAGGAGTTTACAATATAACAGATACCTTTAAAGCATCTGGAGTGTCGTCCACACAGTACACTTTAAGGCTGTACTCCAGAGATGTACATGAGATGGGTGCAAATATGGCGAGCTGGAGTCTTTTAATGGCTGACCTGGAGACAGACTCTCCAACGAGGGCATACGTGCCCAACTGGTCGAGCAGAATGTGGCAGGACTGGGGGTCCAGCTGACAGTAGCAGGGGGTATTTAAATTCTCCTCTTCCAATGTCACCACCTCCTGAACAGCAAAAGAGAAAGAGAAAAGAAAAACAGTTTAGAAATGAACAGCCAACACCAGAAGTCCTCCTGGAACTTTGGACAGTGCTGTTTCCCTGATCATCTGACAATGGAATAACTGTTATTCTTCCACAGGGAGTTAGCTGCACCAAATCAGAGGGAGAGAGAATCCTGGAGAGTTAGTGACATGAACACCAACAACAACTTGCATTTTTACAGTGCATTTGACACAGTAAAATGCACTTTGCTGGAGGATTATCAAATAGAATTTGTCGCCAAGTTTCCATCAGGAGATATTCAGACAAAGGACCTAAAGATCGGTCAAAGAGGTACACAGTTAGGTGTGTTTGGTGATCCTGAGGCCCAGGCAAATACCCTGAGGGAATAAAAGCAAAATACTGCAGATGCTGGCAATCTGAAACAAAAGCATACAATGCTGGACAAACTCTGCAGTTCTGGCACCACCTGCAGAGTCAGAAACAGAGCTCTGAAAAAGAGCTGTATTGGACTTGAAACATTAACTCTGTTTCTCTCTCCACAGAACCTGCTGTGTTTCTCCAGCAATTTCTGCTATTATTTCAGAACTCCAGCATCTGCAGTATTTTGCTTTTATCTGCCATTCTGACCTGGTCTGGCCTACACGTGACTCCAGGCCCATAGCAATGTGGTTGACTCTTGACAGCCCTTTGAAAGGGTTGGGCAACCCACTCAGTTCAATGGAACTTAGGGACGGGCAACAAATGCCAGCCTTGCCAGCGATGGCACATCCCATAAACGAATAAAATATAAATATCCACTGTTGATCGGGAAATCTGACACAGCTCTGTATAATGGGCTTTGTTCATTAGCATTACAATATTATCTAATCTAATCAATTGAACAGCAATCAGTTCTGGCATTGGCAATAATCTTCAGACATTGTTTCTATTGTGTGTGTAACCTGGCATCAGCCTGACAAAGACAGAAGTCAAAACAGTTGAACAGAATTGATTATTTTTATTCTGAAATATAGCTCTGACATTACGACAATCCAAACTTCACTTAGTTATTGCCTTCATTTAAAGGGTCACAACAACATTGGACGGAGCAATGCAATGAAAAGTGTCCATCGCCAACATAATTAAAGGTCAGAATGAAACTTATAGACACACGTTCATCCGCTGATGTGTTTTGTTTATTCATTTGGGAGATGCAGGGGTGTCAGGCTGGGCCAGCATTTACTGCCCATCCCAGTGACCCCTTGAGAAGACGGTGGTGAGCCGCTAACAGCCAATACCTGTCCTGGATTTCCCATGTGGATGTGATGATCAAGAAGGCACAACAATGCCTCTGAGATAGTAAGAGCTGCCAATGCTGGAGTCTGAGATAACAAGGTATGGAGCTGAAGGAACACAGCAGGCCAGGGAGAATCAGAGGAGCAGGAAAGCTGACGTTTCGAGTCGGGACCCTTCTTCAGAAATTCCTGAAACGTCAGCTTTCCTGCTCCTTTGATGCTGCCTGGCCTGCTGTGCTCCCCCAGCTCCACACCTTGTTATTACAACAACGCCTCTTCTACCTCAGGCAGCTCAGGAAATTTGGCCATGTCCATAAGGATCCTCAGCAACTTCTATAGATGCACCATAGAAAACATACTGTCCGGGTGCATAATGGCCTGGTATGGCACCTTCTCTGCCCAGGGCCCTAGGAAACTACAGAAGGTGGTGTGCATAGTCCAGACCATCACGGAAGCCAATCTTCCATCCGTGGACTCCGTTTATATGGCTCGCTGCCGTAGAAAGGTTGCCAACATCATCAAAGACCCATTGCACCCAGTAATACTCTCCTATAACCGCTTCTAGCAGGCGGGAGATACAGAACTTGAACACATGCACCATTAGGTTCAAGAACAGCTTCTTCCCTTCTGTTATTAGACTGATAAATGGACTTTCTAACCTCAAACAATGTTCATCTTGTTAATGTTGATCTTGGCTCATATGCATCCTGTGCGGTGTAACCTGTATGCCTTACTCAGTCCAAGTTTTTCCATCCTATGATCTGTATGCCCTTGCTTACTATGATCTGCCTGTGCTGCTCACAAACAAATCTTTTCACTGTTCTTCAGTACACGTGACAATAAACCAAATCAAACCTGCAGCTGCTGCAGTCCACCTCCTATACAGCCAACACAATGAAAGCACAAATACTGCAAAGAACTGCAGGTGCAGAAGATCTGAAACAAAAGTAGAAATAGCTGGAGAGACTCGGCAGATCTGGCTGCATCTGTGGGAAGAAGGCAGAGTTAATGTTGCAAGTCCGGTGACCGATTTTCTGAACTGGACCGGACTTGAAACGTTAACTCTGTTTCTCTCTCCACAGACTCTGGTAGACCTACTGAGTTTCTCCAGCATTCCCCGTTCTTGCACACTTGAAGCAGAACGAGCCCGCCTGCTCACCAGGTGGTTGATGGAATCTGGGCTCATACTCCAAAAACACAAAACTAGGAATGGTTTCTTCATCTAACCCTAATTCAAGAATTAATATTACCTGTCGGCTGCACTTGGGCTCTCCCTTCATTGTTTGTATTCAATTGTGGGACATTTATTGCCCATCCCTAATTGGCCCTTGAGAAGGTGCTAGTGAACTGTATTCTTGAACCTCTTTAGGTAGACCCATGATATTGTTAGTTGCAGGATTTTGACCCAGCGACACTTAAGGAATAGTAATATGTTTACAAGTAAGAATGCTGTGGGAGATGGAGGGGAACCTGCACGAGGTGTAACAATTTGTCAATGACAGTTCGCCCTGCGAATGGTCCAAATGGTCTCCTGTGCTGTAACAATTCTGTGAAGTCAGGAAACAAAACAGAATTGAGTATTACCCCTTCTGGCCTTGCACTAACGTCCAGTGAGGGCATTTCTTCATGCCAGGCCACTTGAGCTACCTTCAGTATACTGTATGAGAAAGATGCACCACAGTAACTCACTCAGGCTCCTCCAACAGCGCCTTCCAAATTCACAATCATTTCCATCCAGAAGGACAAGGGCAGCAGATACATGGGAACACCAACCCCTGCAAGTTCCCCTCCAAGCCACTCACAATCCTGACTTGGAAATATATCGTCGATCCTTCGCTGTGGCTGGGTCAAAATTCTGGAATTCCCTCCCTAACAGCAATGTGGGTCAACCCACTAGCACATGGACTGCAGTGGTTGAAATAGGCAGCTCACCAGCACCTTCTCAAGGGGCAACTAGTGACAGGCAATAGATGCTGGACCCAGCCTGGGATGCTCACGTCCCACGAATGAGTAAAAACTACGGAGGGAGAGACCAAGTGCAGTAGAGGGTGAAATTAATTCCTGGATTAGGGTCAGATGAATAAACAATTTCTAATTTTATATTTCTGGAATATGAGCTCTGATTCCCAACAACCAGCCCAGTGAGCGAACAGGGCATTGGTTCGACAGGTGGGCTGCTTTAGTTGAGTTGGCATCACATCCATATTCCACCAACATTCGTGAGGTGATGGTGGCACAGTTGGTAATATCATTGAATTGGTAATGTAGATGCTGAAGCCAATGCTCTGAAAGCATAGGCTCAAAAGATTTTCACTTCAGATTAACTGGAATTAGCAGTAAAAGTGACCACGATATATGACAGTCAATTCAAATGAAATGCTCTCTATTATTAAACTTTTTTCACTTCTGTCATTGTCAAGGTACCACTAGATCACACACAACTGAAACAGTGTCTGAGAATTATTGCTTGTTGCTGATGGTGAGCCATTTCTCCGGAGCACTTAGGGATGGGAAATAAATGCGGCCAGATCTCACAAACAGATAAACGAGGCTGCTGGATTCTGATAGTCTGCAAGTGAACTTTGCTGGGTCTCGTGTTCTTACCTCCCAAGCTGCCTGGTGAGTCTGTGTCTTGAATTTAATGCTCCAGTCTGATCCGCAGACGTCTGCACAGTGAGGGACGCTGAGGACAACGGGTCGACACAACAACATGCCTGTTGGGCCACAGGTCACCATTGGACTCAGGACCGTCTGCGAACCTTCAGATGGGGGCCTTAATGGGAAGACAATAATAAGAATTCTTCAATCATCAGAGGACAACAACACTCCAACCCTTATCGCCCTGCTGAAAGGGGTTAGCTTGACACATCCACCAGTAGCTGACACTATTCGTCAATAAGTGCTCTCATATTTAAGATGGAGGATGAGATTTCATTTCTCTCATTAGTCTGTGGAATTCTGTTCCCCAAAAGCAGTGGAGGGGATTACTGAATTTATTTGAGGCTGAGTTTGATAGATTTTTGTGAAGGTAAGGGAGTGCAGGGTTACAGGAAGTGGGGCTGAGGTCACAAGAAGATCAGCCATGACCTTATTGAATGGTGCAGCAGACTAGAGGGGCCGAATGGACTACACCTGCTCCTAATAGGTGACTGCAGCTGATGGTGGTGGTGTACAAAATACACCTGACAGTAACATAACGCCAAATCAAAACAGAAACATGCCAATCCAACGCGGAAATCAGGATAGGAGTCATTCAAACGTGGAAGTCACTGTCACTAGAACAGCTCAGCTGAGGAGCTTAGATGCTTTCAAAAGGGAACAAGTCTGTCAGCACCTGCAAATTCCAAGCCCCTCAACATCCAGACTCAGAAATGTGTCACTGTTCCATCATTGTCACTGAATCAAAATCCTAAACTCCATCCCTACCAGCCTTGTCTGTCTACCTACAACACGTGAACTGCAACAGTTCAAGGTGGCAGCTAACCACCACCTTCTCAAGGGGCAACTAGGGACTGGCATTAAATACTGGCCCTGCCAGAAACACCCACATCTTACAAATGAATGTTTAAACAGTCAAACATAAATGGGAGAAAAGTGAATAGAATGATACACTGAAAGACCAGAGTAGATGGATTGTGAGAAATCTCATGTGGAGTATAAAACTCCAGCACAGCCTAGCTCAGCATGGGCTGACAAGTGGTAAGTAACATTTGCGCCCCAGGCAATGACCATCTCCAACAAGAGACAATCTAACTACTGACCCTTGACATTCAATGGTGTCACCATCACTGCATTCTCCCACTATCAACACCCCTGGAGTTACCATTGACCAGAACTTTAACTGGACTCACCACATAAACACAGTGGCTGCAAGAGCAAGCCAGAAGCTGGGAATACTGCGACAAGTAACTCACCTCCTGACTCCCCAAAGCCTGTCCCTCATCTCCAAGGCACAAGTCAGGAGTGTGATGGAATACTCCCCACTTGCCTGGATGCAGCCCCAACAACACTCAAGAAGCTTGACACCATCCAAGACAAAGCAGCCTATTTGATTGGCACCACATCCACAAGCACCCACTTCTTTCACCAGTGCGGCTCAATCACAGCACTGTATACTATCTTCAAGATACACTGCAGAAATTCACCAAAGATTCTCAGACAGCACCTTCCAAAAGGGCAGCAGACAGATGGGGACACCACCCCCTTCAAGTTCCCCTCCAAGCCACTCACCATCCTGACTTGGAAATATATTGCCGTTCCTTCACTGCAGCTCTGTTGAAACTCTGGAATTCCCTCCTTAATGGCATTGTAGATCTCCCTGCAGCAGGTGGGCTGTAGAGGTTCGAGAAGGCAGCTCACCACCAGCTTCCCAAGGGCAACTAGGGACGGGCAAGAAATGATGGCCCAGCTCGTGATGCCCATGTCCCACAAATGAATTAAAAAAAAGCTAAATGGCTTCTTTTTTCATCTGTTACCTGGTATTAGCACAATTCTATGTTGTGCATGAACATTATTTGGCTGATAGACCACTTTTAACACTGGCATCAACCTACTGCTTTAGATGGAGTAAGACTCCGTACTAAAGTAATGGACCTGTGGAGAACAGTGACATGTCTGTCCATTCACTCAATCACCTTTAGCTCAGAACAAGGAACTAATTTCATACTGGATGTTGCCACAAGGGGGCGGCAATGCCATTCCCAGAAGCATTGCCGGAAAACACCCCAACACTTGTTTAGCCAAGTGTGTCAATGCAGTTGGACCCTTTAATGCAGCCCTTTTCCTGGGTTTGGTCAGGGGTTCTTGTGTTGTAGTGGTAGTATTCCCACCTCTGGACCCAGAGGCCTAGGTTCAAGTCCCACCTGGTCCAGAGGTGTGTGGTAACATCTCTGATCGGGTTGATGAAAATAAATATACCTGGGTTCAGTGTGACCCGGGCAAGTTCCACCCTGATAACTATCCAGTCGAGATGCAGGCATCATGTGTTTACACCTGGAAGGAGCGAAGGCATGGTCAGAAAGGACAGGGTGCGATCTCCGAAGAGCTTCCAAGAGGCAATGGGACGTGACCTTGAAGGGACCACATTTGCAGGGCAATGTGAACCGCACAGCTCTGTCAAATGTTGCCTCAGTTATGAAGGGCTGAATGGCCTCCTTCTGTGCTGCGCAACCACGCCCCCCACCCCCGGGCCAGAGACGAGATCTGTTGACTCAGAAAGTCCGGCTATTTAGGTGAGACTACAAACATGGCAGGGTAAAGCCAATGGACAACTTGGTTTGATGCATGGGAATTTCCTCAGAATGAAGCTGACAGCTGATTGCATGAATGGGGGGAAGGAGTCGAGCCATTCAATTCAAATGCAAACATTATGCATGAGCATTACAGGTATCTCCTTCTGGGCTCAGTTAGCTGATGGCTGGTTTGTGATGTAGAGTCACCCTGGACAGTGTGGCTTCAAATCCCGTACCAGCAGAGGTTAATATGAAGGACTATGTTCTCAACCTCTCCCCTTGCCTGAGGTGGTGACCCTCAGGTTAAACTCCCACTGCTCATCTCTCTCTCTCTCTCTCTCTTTGTCTCTGTCTCTGAGGGGTGGGGCTATTGTGGCTGTAACTTTTGCCTGTAATGCTGTTAACTACCACCAAACTTACTCCCCATCACCACGCGGCTTACCAATCCCAGAACTGGTCTTCAGTTATCAGGGCCAGAGCTGGATTTTCTGCCAGTATCGACCATTTCGGTTGAGATGTTTTTTTTTTCCCAGATTATCCGAGTGCAATTGGTACAGCTCCACTAAACCCCGTTATCAAACATTTCAAAGTGAACTTCCAGAAACGTGGAAGGAAACGACACAAGATTACAGTGGCTTTCTTTAAAAGTGATATTCTCAAAATGCACTGGGTTCAAAATCCTGGGACTGCTTCCCAAACAAACAGGGACTGCAGCAGTTCAAGAAGGCAGTTCACCTCCACTTTCTACGGTAGTTAGGGATGGGCAATAAATGCTGGCCTGGTTACTGACTCCCACAGCCAAAGATGAATAAAGAAAATATCTTGGTTTATGATATCTCTTCAATTGCCTGAGAGCTCTCAGCTAAAGAGTCCCCATTGTTAGTTCTTCCTTCTCATGTTCTGATAGTCAGGGAAGTATAAGGGCACACAAGTTATGGCACTGTGGCTCAGTGGTTAGCACTGCTGCTTCACAGTGCCCAGGTCACAGGTTCAATTTCACCCTTGGGCGACTGTCTGCGTGGAGTTTGCACATTCTCCCCGTGTCTGAGTGGGTTTCCTCCAGGTGCTCCGGTTTCCTCCCACAGCCAATGATGTGCAGGTTAGGGTGGATTGGCCATGCTAAATTGCCCCTAGTGTTCAGGGATGTGCAGGCTAGGTGGGTTAGCCATGGGGAATGCAGGATTACAGGGACAGGGTAAGGCGGTGGGTCTGGGAGAGATGCTCTTCAGAGGGTCAGTTTGGACTTGATGGGTGGAATGGCCTGCTTCCGCACTGTAGGGATTCTATGGTTAAAAGTCATTGAGAGAGAGCTCCTGGTGACTGGCGATATGGAGTCTCAATTCTGACTCTGAATGTCAAAACGTACTTACATAATACTGAATGGCCTGGACAGTGTGGATGTTGGGAAGATGTTTCCATTGGTAGGAGAGACTAGGACCCGAGGGCACAGCCTTAGAGTAAAGGGAAGGCCTTTTAGAACGGAGATAAGGAGAAACTTCTTCAGCCAGTGAGTGGTGAATCTATGGAATTCACTGCCACAGAAGGATGTGGAGGCCAGGTCATTGAGTACATGTAAGACTGAGATAGATAGGTTCTTGATTATCAAGGGGATCAAGGGTTACAGGGAGAAAGCGGGAGAATGGGGTTGAGGAACTTATTAGCCATGATTGAATGGCGGAGCAGACTCGATGGGCTGAATGGCCTAATTTCTCTTCTTTTTTCTTATACGTCTTATGTAAAAGAAGTTGCCTGTGAGGCTGAGTAGGACTCTTGTATTTGGATCAGAAGGTTGTGAGCTCATTAGCTGTATGTGAAAAGCTAGTCTGCAGACACTCCAGGGAAGCACTGAGGGAACGCGGCATGGTTGGGAAAGCTGTCTTTTGAAGGAGTTGTCAAGCCAAAGACCAGCCTATTCTGTCATGTGTAAGTTACCAGAGCAACACAAAAAAACAGAGAAATGCGGATGCTGGAATTCTGAAACAGAAAGCGCTGGAGAAACGCAGCAGGTCTGGCAGTGTCCTGTGTTCTGAGAAGGGTCACTGGACTCGAAATGTTAACTCATTTTCTCTCTCCACAGATGCTGCCAGACCTGCTGCGTTTCTCCAGCAATTTCTGTTGGTGTTTCTGTTACCATGGTGTGGTTTTGAAGGAGAGCAACAGGGAGTTCTCCACAGTACATTGGCCGATAAATACCTCTTGATCGACATCACAAAAGCAGATGATCTGGCTATTGTGACGGTTTTTCATTTTTGGGATCATGCTGTGCGCAAGTTGGCTGCTACATTTCCTGCATGACAACCTTTAAGACGTAACTTCAGTCACCATACGATACTGCTTTGGGAAGTCCTTCAGCCACAAAACGTGCCACGTAATTTCTCTTTCTCCATAAGAAATCACTTGTCAAATACAGGTCCTGCCATTTAGTGATATAGAGATGTACTAACGTAAGTCTCAGACAGTGTCCTGTGACTTAACCTATCCAAAGCTGGGTCACAATTTGCTGATGGGCAGGTGAAGACACCTCGGAAATTCAAGTGTGTACGTATTAACGCATTCTCTGTCCTCTCTTTGTCAAACAGAATGTAAATAGAATTTGAGTTCTTGCTATCGCTGCTTGTAAGAAAGACCAGAAACTACCATGCAAGCTACAGGTGCCTACAACAAGTAAGCACTGTAGGTATCAAGAACATGTAAAACCGTAAGATCAGGAGCCATAGGAGCATAATTAGTTTATTCAGTCCATCAAAGTCTGCTTTGCCTTTCAATGGGACCATGGTTGATCTGATCATCCCCAGTTTCACTTTCCTGCCTTTTCCCCATAACCTTTGATTCCCCTCCTGTTTAAAAATCTTTCTATCTCAGCCTTGAATGACCCAACTTTGACAACACTCTGGAGTAAAGAATTCCACAGTTACACTGCTCAGTGAGACAGGAAATTCCTCCCTCATCTCTGTCCTGAGGTAACTATTGTGGAGATTGTAAGCATTGAATAGGATCTAACAAACACCTTAGACCCCCATCAAAATGCTTTTAAAATATGAATACAAGAGTTAGGAGCTGGAATAAGTCAGTCAGTCCCTCGAATCTGCTTGACCATTCAAACAATTCACGACCAATCAGGTTGCTCCATATTCCTGCTTACTCCTGATTATGAAAGAGCAATATTAACATTGATATAGCATTTGCATTTTACACAGGAACTTTGTGTTTCTTCAGCAGGGCTCATGGTGGAGGAAGATGGGAGGGGAGGTCTCTGGTGGTTGAATTGCATTTTTCACGAATATCTCACATTCTCAGGATACAAAAAGAAAAAGTGAGTCTTCTCAATCACTGAAATAAAACCAGAAAATGCTGGAGAAACTCAGCAGGTCTGGCAGCATCTGTGGAGAGAGAAAACAGAGTTAACACTTCAAACTCTTTTTGAACTCAGTTCCGTGGAAAGATCACTGGACTCGAAATATTAACTCTGCTTTTTCCGCACAGATGCTGCCAGACCTACTGAGTTTCTCCAGCATTTTCTGGTTTTGTTTCAGATTACCAGCAGTAATTTGTTTGAGTTTATTCTCAATCACTGGGCAGGTTGTGTGCGCAGATTAATTTCCTGAAGTTTACAAGTAGCGACAGGAGAATTATTGATGCAGATTCCCTTGCTCAGTTTGAGAAGACTTTCTGAAAACCATGCATTTTGTTTAACCCCTGCAAAACTTGCTAATTTTTTTTTAGATGATGCATTACGCGATGTAATTATTGTGTATCAGAGAACCCCCTCAGTGCGGAAGCAGGGCAATTGACCCATCAAGTCCACACGAACCCTCCGAAAACCATCCCACCCACTCTATCCCTGTATTTCCCATGTCTAACCCACTTAGCCTACACATCCCTGGACACTATGGGCAATATTAGCACGGCCAATCCACCCAACCTGCATATTTTTGGATTGTGGGAGGAAACCAGAGCACCCGGAGGAAACCCACACAGACACGGGGAGAATGTGCAAACTCCACACAGACAGCTGCCCAAGGCTGGAATTGAAACCAGGTCCCTGGCACTGTGATGTAGCAGTGCTAACCACTGAGCCACCATGCCACCCTGTAAAAACATAGGCTCTTGTACAACACTTACCTGAAGTTCATCATTTCTCAGCACAGTGTAAATTAGTCCAAATTAATTTGAAAAGAGATTACCGACAGAATTTCAAAGCCAAGATTCCATAAGGTGATTTGTTAGAACTGAGAACGTTTTGAACTTGCGATTGTTACAGTTCAGTGTGAAAATCCCCATGTTTGCCATTTTTATATAGGTAACTCCCCAATTCTTTCTTTTGGTTCTGAACTGTGCTTTACTGTGATATTCTGATTGAAACAAGCATCAAAGCTGCTAAGTTTCTGCTTTGGATGGTTACAGTTACTGTGAAGACACTGCCATAGATTCACCGTGGGAATAGTGTACTTACAGCATGTTTTCCCTCTTGTTTATTATCAGGTACATTTCATAGAACTTGCCCTGTGGAATTGCTCCCTGTGGTACCAACAAGCTGACACCTATTTGGAACGAGAAAGGGAAGATTGGTAAGTGAAGATCGGTTGACACAGGTTAGAAAACACACTGGTTCACACTATAAGCTGGCGACACTCTTGTCCTTGGAGCAAGAGCTTGTGGGTTTGATTCCTATTTGAGCACATGACACATTGATTGCACTACTAAGTGAGTGGTTCATTGTCAGAGATGCTGTCTTTCTGATGAGATGTTAAACCGAGACCCTCCCAAGTGGATGCAAAGGTTCCCACAGTGTTGTTTTTAGCCAGTAGTTTTCTTCAACCAATATAACAGAAGCAGATTTATAGAGTCATAGAGATGTACAGCATGGAAACAGACCCTTTGGTCCAACTTGTCCATGCAGACCTAAATTAATCTAGTCCCATTTGCCAGCATTTGGTCTAAACCCTTCTTATTTATATACCCATCCAGATTCCCTTTCAATGCTGTAACTGCCACCAACCTCCACAACTTCCTCTGGCAGCTCATTCCATACACGCATCATCCTCTGTGTGAAAACATTGCCCCTTAGGTCTATTTTCAATCTTTCCCCTCTCACCTTAAACCAATGCCCTCTAGTTTTGGACTCCCCTACCGTGGGAAAAGATCTAACTATTCACCCTATCCATGGCCCTCGTGATTTTATAAACCTCTATAAGCTCAACCTCAGCCTCCGATGCTCAAGTGGAACCTAGTGGTTTGATCGCTGTTTGTGGCGAGTTTGCTGGGTGCAAAGATGCTATCATGTCTCTACCTCACAGCACTGCTTGCACTTCAAGAAATACCTCATTGGATGTAAAGTGCTCTGGCCATCAGATCCCCTCCATAACTGTAAGATTTGTTCTAACCATTTCAAAACCATGGAACCACACTGTACAGAGGAAGCCCTCTGGCCCATTGAGTCTGCACTGACAAAATGATGCCGAATCTTCACCAAACCCACTTTCCAACACTTGGCTCATAGCCTTGAATGTAATGACATTTCAAATCCTCATCCAAGAACTGTTTAAAGGTTTCGAGTTTCCTGCCTCAATGACCCTCCCAAGCAGTACATTCCAGCTGTCCACCACCCTCTGGGTGAAAAAGATTTTCAAGTCCCCTCAAAACCTCATGCATTTCACCTTAAAATTAAATCCCTTCATTACTGAACATGAAATAAAAGTACTTTTAAGTTTCCTCGATTCTATCTGCCAGAGTTATGGGCATGTAGATGCAGCGCAGGATTCAAGAATTTATACGAATTGAAGTAGACATAAACAGATAAATTAGATATGGTGCAGTCATTTGAATGGAATCATTTGCAATATTAAAGCAATAACTGGGCAGAATCTTTGGATTTCTCGATCATTCTCACTGACGGGTTTGCTCAATAATGTCTTTAAGAGCAATTATTGCTAAGCAATCCCAGCAGTTTTCTGCAGAGTTTTCTATTAAAAAAATGTGCAAACTGCTGAATGTGCTCTTAATCTCTAGTAATCTTGACATTTCGAGATTGTTAATGCCAAGAGTAATGAAAGCTGGTTGACAGTGGAACTAAAATGGGAAGTTGGTTTCCAGTGAATGCAGTTGGCAGGTGACATTTATCATAAATATAAATTGCATGCCATTGTATTATTGTTGACATTTTCTGCTTTGATTTTTTTTTAATATAAAGATGTTAGCACAGGAGCAAGAGATTACATCTCAGTCAGCGTGGAAAACAGGAAATGATAGTGAACTAGGAAACAAAAAAAAATGTTGCTTTACATGGGAACTCAATCATTGACGCTGGATCAGAGCCAACCTGTTGTCTCTCCTCCTTGTGAAGGGAGTCGGGAGCAGGTACAAAATAAGTTCCTGGTAATTGTACAAATGATGGGAGGAGGGGGGGAGTTTGAAATTCACATGGGGAAATGGAAGGCGATGCAATTACTACAGTCTGAACATTGCATCAAACTGATGTATTTCCTCAGTCTGTGCTCCTGATCGTATTGTATCAGCAGCTGCCTGCGACCCAGGGCTACCTAATGACTGAGGTCAGACATTTCTGAAATGAAAGGATCATGTTACCATTGAACATCGCTCTGCTAGATCTATCAGCGAGCTTGCGGTTAGGTGTGATAACTCACCTGCCTTTCCTCAGGTACAGACCAGTCGAACACACCTGACCCGCTTCTGTCAGACACAAAGCTACTACGACTGATGGAAATTCCCCAGAACAAGGCGAATCAACACTAACATAGAAGAGCAGGCTGTAGGAAAACTACCACAGCTTTATCCGATGGGAGGAAGGCTTTAGCACGAGAGGGCTTGACCCAGCTGCATAAAAACCGAAAGAACTGTGTATGCTGTAAATCAGGAACAAAAACAAAGCTGCTGGAAAAGCCCAGCAGGTCTGGCAGCATCTGTGAAGGAAATAAACAGAGGTAACATTTCGGGTCCGTTCTGAGGAAGGGTCAACAGACCCAAAACGTTAACTCTTTTTTTTCCTTCACAGATGCTGCCAGACCTGCTGAGCTTTTCCAACAAGTTTGTTTCTGATCCAGCTGCATTGTTGTTGCTCTGCAGAGGCTAACACTGAGACGGTATTCACTGGTGACCAGTTCTGATCAATTGGTTTAGTTTTAAATGAGAAAGGGACAGGAAAGAGTATACATTTGGATTCTAAAATGTCATGGGCTGAAGTAAAAGTACTCTGTCTCCAGCATGTCTTGGTGGGTACTGTTTAACTGCTGTGAAATTGGCAGGTTATAAAGCAACTCTTGCATTTATATAGCTGTTTTTGTAATTCTGAGGATGTTTGAAGTGCAGTCACTGTGGGGAGGGAATGCGATGCCTAATTTACATGTAGGAAGCTCCCATAAATGACTGGGAGAATTGAGCAAACCATCTGCTCAGTGAGGAGGCATTGAGAGAGAGAGGTGTTCACTGGTTGTTCTTCAAACGGTGCCATAAGAACTTTTACACCCAACAGAGAGATGGAGTCGGCACCTTGGTTTGACACCTCATTCGGAAATCTGCACCTCCGACACCGCAGCATTCCCCCGGCGCTACACTGGGAGTGTCAGCTTTGGTGATGGGCTCATGTCTCTGGAGTAGGATTTGAACTCACCAACTTCTGACTCAGTGGGAGGAGTACTACCCAGGGAGTGATGGCAGAATGGTTGTAAGTTCAAATCCCCACGCTGACCGTGAATGCCTTTTGTGCTGGTCTGTGCAAACTTTAAAGACTCTGTTGACAGTAAAGCAGGAGTAAAGCAGAGTCAACCAGCATTATCATAGAGTCATACAGCACGGAAACAGACCCTTGGACCAACCAGTCCATGCCGACCATAATCCCAAACTATACCAGGACCACCTGCCTGCTCCTGGCCCGTATCCCTCCAAACCTTTCCTATTCATATACTTATCCAAATATCTTTTAAATGTTGTAATTGTACCCACATCCATCACTTCCTCAGGAAGTTCATTCCACATGTGAACCACTCTCTGTGTAAACAATTTACCCCCCATGTCTTTTTTAAATCTGTCTCTCCTCTCACCTTAAAAATATGTCCTGTATTCTTGAAATTCCCCATCCGAGGGAAAAGATAACTACCATTAACTCTATCTATACCTCTTACTATTTTATAAACTTCCACTAGGTCGCCTCTCAATCTCCTATGCTCCAGTAAAACAAGACCCAGCCTATCCAGCCTTTCTTTATAACTCAAAGCTTCCATATGCAGCAACATCCTGGTAAATCTCTTCCGAACCCTCTCCAGCTTAATAATATCCTTCCTATAACTGGATGGCCAGAACTGGACACAGTACTCCACAAGAGGCCTTGCTAATGTCCCTGAACCTTCAACTGCTATTCCAGGGCATTAAATCACTGCCCATTTCTGAGTAATTCACAGGGCTTTCTGGAAAGGGGACAATCTCTAAACCCGCAACACCAACTTGTATTTATAAAGCATCTCTGAGGGTTGCAGGATCATTTCAGGTGCATAATGGAAGTCACAGAGTGGTAATCGAATTGAAGCAAATTTGATAGTTTCTAAATCAAATAATAAACATGAATTTTATGATTAGGAAACTACACAGACTGGGCTATAACCATGTCCAGATTTCAATGAAATTGGGCAGGCTGATTTATGTGAAGGTGCAAGGTGAATTGGTAGGTTAATGCGCTTTGCTTGACATTCCACTCTGTGATATTTTTCGAGAGTTTTCAGTACATTTATTTGAAGTGCAGAAAGAAATTTAATGTGGACACATTAAAAACCATCACCAACATGAAAATGTATCCATGCAGTCCTCGATTCAGTTCCACGGATATATTTTCAGCCAAAGATTCAGACCACAGCTGATATTTTCCCCTCGGTCCCCAGCCTTGAGGCTTTAAAGTAAGTTTCACCCTGGGTGGGGTCAACTAAGGCATCACAGAGCAGGGTGTTGAGCTGTCTGATGTTTGAGGCCTGGTTTGAGTCTGTACCCAACGAACACTAAGCCCTGACACCACTCCTAGATGCTCAAACACAGGGATGCAAAAGCAAATTTGGATCATTTCTTGGACATATTAGGAGTTGGGATATCTCTACATTGTGTAAAGACCTCAGTACAAGCAGAAATAATCACAACCATGGCAACATGAACGTAGGAAATGGGGTATGGGAACACCAGTGCAGCACATTCAGATGCCATTGCCACAAACCCAACTCAAACTTTCTCTCCACTTTCCCTGCTCCGAAACTCAACAGGAACGTTCAGAAATATCAAACAATGCGGGAAAAAAAAAACAATATCCTGGACTGGTTCCCAGGCTGCAATATCCTCTCCAGATGACATTCATAAAGCTTTTGATCTTGAATCTGATGCCATCTAAGTGCCTCGATCAAAAATGCTGCCAGGAATCCATCAAATAATTGCAGGTGAAATGGGGAACAGCTACACAGACGTGTAGTAATGTACCAAAGAAACAACGGTGACGCGAGAAAAAAACTAATTCACTCAGCGAGTGGTTCGGGTCTGGAATGTACTGCCTGAAAATGTGGTGGAGGCAGGTTCAGTCGAGGCATACAAGAGGGGCATTGGATGGCTATTTAGATAGAAATTGTGTGCAAGGGCATGCAGATAAAGCAAGAACTTGGCACCACGTAATCATGTTTGTGTGAACAGACAGTGCATGAACAATGGGCCAAATGGCCTCGCTTTCCACAGTAACAAATCTGTGATTAGGCATCATAGAGAATAGGAGGCCATTTGCTCCACTGAGTCTGTGCTGGCTCTTCCAAAGAACAATTCAGTCAGTCCCACTCCCGTTTCTCTCTCCACATATCCATGCAATTCTTTTTCTCCCATCTATTATCCAAGACCCTTTGAAAGCTACTAATTGGTTTGTTTCCACTGCCCTTTCAGGCAGCACGTTCCAGATCCTAACCTCTTGTTATTATAAGGAAGTTGTTCCCTATCTTATTTTTGGTTTAAATTAAATCTGCGGCCTCTGATTAATGATAATGTAGCTTTGAGCTGTACGGCCTAGTGATCATTCAACAACCCAAAAGTTCCTATGCAGACCACACACAAGCCAGCTCCTTTAAAGTAACATCTATGTGCAGCTATGCACAATGTTCAAAGAGATGGTGCATTTAATAAACTCACTAGTGCCCTTTGTTGTTTGTACACTTTACTTTAAGAGAGTTCACCTTTAAGGGCTTTAAAGTTCCATATGTTGGCTCCATATGTTGTGTGTATACAATGTTGCGACTCTGCCTGACAGCTAGTCTGCATTGGGTTTGCAAGTTGTGCACACAGAGAAACCAGTTATTTTGCTGCTTCATAACTTACCATGTAATTTACTCCATTAAATCATCTCTTACCCTTCTTGGCTCTGTAGAGAACAACCTCAGCTTCTCAAGTTATCTATGTAACAGTTCTTGATCACTGGAATCATTGTACAATAAATGTCTTATCTAAAGTGGCTCGCATCCTTTCCAAAGCACAGTGCCCAGAATTAGACACAGTCATCTAGCTGGAATGAAGCAATGCTTTATATGAGCTTAAACAGAATTTTTTGCCTTTCATATTTATTATTCACTCATGGGATGTGGGCATCGCATTTATTGCCTTTCTCCTGTTGCCCTTGAGAAGCTGATGGTGAGCTGCCTTCAGGAAACAGTGCAGTCTATGTGCTGTAGGTAGACCCACAATGTCCTTAGGGAGGGAATTCCAGGATTGTGACCCAGTGACACTGACGGAATGGCGACAGATTTCCAAGTCAGGATGGTGAGCGGCTGGGAGGGGAACTTGCAGGTGGTCCTGTTCCTATCTATCTTGTCCTTCTAGATGGAAATGGTTGTGAGTTTGGAAGAAGCTATTTATGAATCTTTGGTGAATTTCTGCAGTGCACAGTACACACTGTTGTGACTGAGCGTCGATGGTGGATGTGGTGCCAGTAGTACTCTATGTTGATTATTTGTAAGTTTTAATTAATTACTTTGTTAACCTACTCTGCCACTTTCAAAAGTCTGAGAAGAAACATTCCAGAGTTGTTCCGTCCTGTTAAAGTTGGACCATTTAAGTTGTCTTTTCTCTCCTTTTCACCCAACCAAAAAAATTGCCTCTTGCATTTCCATGTTGAATTTTATCTGATAATCTTCTGTGCATTTTGTCAGTTTGTCTATATCCTTTTAAAGAGTTTTACTGCCTTCTTTCAATGCATTCTGCACTTAACAAGTCTGGTGTCCTCTGCAAATTTCAAATTTGTCTTCTGTAAGTTTGAGTTATTAACATTATATAAAAAAGTGGTGTTTGCACTGAACTCCAAGGAACGTCTCTGTACAAATAAAAAATATTTTGCTCCATTTGCATGAGAATTGCTCCAAATGGAATTTTATTTGATGAGAAAAGTCACAGTTCACTAATTCGCTGTCTACTGTGTGTGAGCAGCATGACATAATGGCACTGGGGGCCTGTTGATGCATCATCATAATCAATCTGTGTTAAGCAGCCTGTAGCAGACACAGACAGGAGATGGGGAAAGCCCCCCGAGGTGGAGAAACTTGAGGACAAGTTCCCAGTTTGCTGATGACACAACCACTAACTACAGCTATTGTGTGAACCCCCACTACACCCTCTGGAGTCACTGATCCACAGATCCAAAGTTACCTGCTCCTCACTACACTTTCCACATAACATGTCGCAAATTAATCATAGATTCTATCTATGGGAAATCTGTGAAATTTACATTTTAATCGATCAGTACTGACTGCTTCCACTATCTCCCTAGATAGTATGCTCCACAGTTTGACTGCTTGATTACTCAACTATTGGTTCCGCAGATGAGTTTTGGATTTGTACATCATTATCCACCCCTCCTCTCCCATAACCTTTCAGGTCCACTCTTGACAATGAGGGTGCTGCTAACCATGGCAATATTATTTAGTCCCAACAGAATTCTTAAAACAGCAGCCTTGTCACCTCTGAGCTCGTTCTGTGCCAGTGCAAATTGTAAAAAGGTAAAAAGTAAAGTCACCATCGTCCTACCAGACCAGATACTCTCACATTTGAGAGAGACATGACTGGTTGTGGTTTAGCCTGAGGGTTACCATGCCTCAGGTCGGGGGTGGGAGGTCGAGAAGGAGAGTCCTTCAGGGTAACATCCACAGTGCAGGAATCGAATCCACACTATTAGCTTCACACTGTATCGCAAACCAGCCATCTAGCCAAAACAAAACAGAAATCGCTGGAGAATGAGTTCTGAGAAAGGGTCACTAGACCTGAAAGGTGAATTCTGATTTCTGTCCACAGATACTGCTGAGCTTTTCTAACAATTTCTGTTTTTTGTTTGTGTTTATAATTGCTGGAGAAACTCAGCTGCATCTGTGGAGCGACAACCCATCTGAAGAGGGGTCACTGGACCTGAAATGTTAACTCTGCTTTCTCCCCACAGATGCTGAGTTTCTCCAACATTTCTGGTTTCATTTCAGATTTCTAGCAAGCCTTTGCTTTATTTCAGCTGACCAACCAACTGATCCATCATTGGTTTGCCCAATCACTTCCCATAATGACACCCCTCCCCTTCCAGAACTGGAGCCCTGATTAGAATTGTTCTTCTTTCGTCACCAGTAAATATTCATTCCTGACTCTGTCATGCCCCCTGTTACATTATAGCTGGAATATGGAGCTCAGACAGAGCAGAGGTACACATATTATGGCTGCCATTGGTGGCTAAGTTCTCAGTAGTCTAGGTCCTAAACTGTACGAGTCTTCCGCTGTAGCATGTGACCTATCCTTGTCTCCCGCTCTGGCAATATCTCAACATTAAAGTTCTCTTTTTCAAATCCTTCAGTCACCCAATCCTTTCCATCCCTAATTCTGCTGCTTTCTCAGAGCCTTCAGGATTTCTATGGTCTTCTATGGTCTAATCTTTTCGGCATCTCATGACTTCTGTAAATTCACTAATGACAGACCTAGCGCTAAAGCTCTGCAGTTGCCTTGTTCTTGTCCTTAGAGCTATTCCTTAAAACATGCCTCATTGATCTTAGGGTTTGATGAGTCATACTGACAATGGCTTGGCCAAATGAAGTCCTTTATTGTCATTCATTCATGGGATGTGGGCACTGCTACCTGGTCCAGCATTTATTGCCCATCCCCTAGTTACCCAGAAGGTAGGAAAGAGTCAACCACATTGCTGTGGGCCTGGAGTCACATGCAAGCCAGACCAGGTAAGGATGACAAATTCCCTTCCCTAAAGGACATCACTGAACCAGACTGGTTTTTATGATCATTGACAGTAATTACATTGGCCAGCATTTATGTTTCTTATATAGAATTCACTATGGTGGGATCCAAACTCATGGCTCCAGAATGTTAATTTGGTGTTCTGAATTATTAGTTTCTTTAAATTCATTCACAAGATGAGGGCGTCACTAGCTGTTCCAGCTTTTATTGCCCATCTCTAATTGCCCAAGGGGCAGTTAAGAGTCAACCACATTTCTCTGGACTCACATGTAGGTAAGGATGGTAGTTTCCTTCTTTAAAGGACGTTAGGGAGCCAGATGGGTTTTTCTGACAATAAACAATGGATTGTCCAAAGTCCAGGGACATACCACTGTCTCCCCATTCCAGCAAGTTTCCTTTGGATCTTTCACTGTTTGGAAAGGCTACATATCAATGACATTTCAGATTTCTGAAGAAGGGTCCTGACCCGAAACATGAGCTTTCCTGCTCCTCTGATGCTGCCTGGCCTTCTGTGTTCCTCCAGCTCCACGCTGTGTTGTCTCTGACTCCAGCACCTGCAGTTCTTACTATCTCCGATATCAATGACATTTGTTGTTTCAGCCCATACCCACCCTGAATGCGAGACCAAGACACAAACCTGAGTTGGGCACTGTCAGTCGTCCACCCTGACAGCCAAAGGTTCCACTGGCACTGTACCCAGGCTCTCTGGGCATGGTGCCCAGGTGCTGGGAGCTGAGGGCTTTGTTCCTCATGTTCATGGTAACGTTGCTATCGCTGCTGTTGCCCCCAGGGTACATGCCCGAGTCCATCTCACCCACCAACATGGACGTGGTCGTCGAGGAGTTGTACACTTTGATTTTCAGGCTGGGCAAGGGGTCCAAGAGTGGGGAGTTTGTCATGGGAATCTTGTCAGCTGTGTCCTGGAGAGTGTACATGGGCCCCCGGTAAGAGCCAGCACTAGCTGTCAGGTCTGGCTGTATTGACGAGTTCAACAACTGAGAGTTATCTGGGACAAAGAAGCAGAAATACAACGAGATTAGCTTTGAGTTCACAGCATGGATCAGTCCTACAGGTCTTAAATCAGCCTCCCTGCCCTAAATCAACAACCTCTCATTTCACTTAATCTCATTCCTTTGACATATCCACCTATCCCTGACTGCCTCAGGGATTAATCTAACTTCCTCCTCAATTCAATGACATTGTTAGTTATTTGACAATGTTATTTTTGGTTGTTGTTATTTTTGACAATGATATTTGACAAAAGAAGTCCAGCATTCCACTCTTAACGCACCTGGAAGTAGGGTGTGTGTGTGTGTTTTGTCCCCAGTCCCATGTTGGATTTATCGCAGTTTGACGGCACTTTGTTTAGGATTCTCTCTCCCCAAAATGAAAAATATCCATGTTGATTTCAGTACCAAGGTCCAAATGGTGCAAAGACACAGCCAACATCAACAGATTTTTACAATTTTGGATATGCTCCTGCTTCTTACTTAGGAGCAAGAGTAGGCCATTCAGCTCCTCGAGCATATTCATTGAGACCATGGATGATCTGTGGTCTAACTTCATATATTCTTTTTTTACTTAACTTAGTTTTCTTAATCAATCTGTTCAGAGATGTTATTACACACGTCTGGAGCAGATGGGAGTTGAACCCAGTCCTCGTGGTCCAGGGGTAGGGGCATTAGCACTGTGCCACAATAGGACATGGACCTGCCTTTGGTCCATACCTCTTACTGCCTTCCCAGTCTGGAAATTGCACAAAGTTTGTTATTTTCCTGAGAAGACAAAAGATGCTGAAAGTATTGTTCTGATTCTCAGTCTGGCAAGGAAGGTCAGCCCTCATTAACTGGTTTTACCTCAGTCTCTGTGACTCCTCCCACCTACTGCACTCTTTGTCAGAGATTCTAAATCTTTCTGTGGGAGACAGCACCTATTGGTCTCAACAATATCAGAACATTTACATGGAGGTGAGTAACTGCTTCTTTATGTCTCACACACTTGTCACCGAACAGCTTTCCCATGTACAGCCAGAGAGATGAAGGTTACAAAACTAGAGGCAGCAGCTTGTCCAATGACCTTAAAGCGTGACGTCGCCATCTTTCCCATCGTCTGGAAAGATCCCACGGCCTTGTTTCCAAGAGGAGCAGGGAAGATCCGTTTTCCCCATTGGCTTGAACCCAACCAATCCTCACGATGGAACAACTGGTCTGGGCTTTACTGTCCCGCTGTCTGTGGGATCTTGCTGTGCACATAACCGGCTGCCAACTTTCCTCCCACATCCTCACGCTGGCGTGATTGTGTACGTTACTGGCCACAAGTCGGTTTGGGGTGTCCTGACTGTGTGGTATAAAAGTGCAAGCCTTTCTTTTGCAGCCACTGTGTAGAGCTAAAAGCCCCCACCAATACACCAGAAAGAAATAAAACAGGTGGCTCAGTGCCAGGGACCTGGGTTCGATTCCAGCCCTGGGCAACTGTCTTTGTGGAGTTTGCATGTTCTCCCTACATAGGTTTCCTCCGGGTGCTCCGGTTTCCTCCCACAGTCCAAGGATGTGTAGGTTAGATGGATTGGCCATGGTAAATGCAGGGTTAGGGGGAATGGAGGGGTTAGGATGCCCTTTGGCGGGTTGGTACAGATTTGGTGGGTCTAATGTTCTCTATCTGCACTGCAGGGATTCTATGAATACTCTCTCCTCTCAACCCACCTTCCCTGGTGTGGGGTTTTTACTTTTTGGATCTCACCTGCTGCCCCCCTGGATCTTCCACCTTCATGTTGCAAAGTGATGGCAAACCTTTTCTGAACTATTGGTTAGGACTCAGTTGGAGAATGATGTACAATTCTGCACCAGACTTCAGGAAGATTGATTGGGTACAGAGGAGAGTAGTGGAATGGTACAAAGATGTGGGAAGCTTCAATTATTCGGAGAGACCAGAGAAACTGACTGTATTCTCCTTAGAGTAGATGACATTTTGAGTAAATAAACCACAGGAGTTCAGAGTCATGGGGTGTTTTAACGGAGCCAATCAAGTGAAATTGTTTCCGCTGGTGGGAAAATTGGTCACCAGAGGACAAAGACTTGAGATTATTGAGAACTGAACCAAAGGGGAGATTTTAACATGAAATGTTTTAACATAATGAGTTGTTACATAGAATCCCTACTGTGAGGAAACAGGCCCTTCGGCCCAACAAGTTCACACCGACCATCACAGCACCCCTCCCCCCAAGACCCATCCTCCTATAACCCATCTAATCTACAAATCCCTGAACACTATGGGCAATTTAACATGGCCAATCCACCCCAACCTGCACATCTTTGGAAACCAGAGCACCCGGAGGAATCCCACACAGACACGGGGAGAATGTGCAAACTCCACACGGACAGTCGCCTGAGGGTGCAATCAAACCCGGGTCCTTGGTGCTGTGAGGCAGCAGTGCTAACCACTGAGCCACTGTACTGCCCAACGTTACAACGTGGGATCCACTGTCTAAAAGAATGATGGAGACGAAATCGACATTTCAAAAGAGAAGTGGATTTGTGCTTGAAGAAGAAATGTTTGCAGCACTTTGGAGAAAGAGAAGGGGTAGAGTGGGATAAATTCAATTTGATCTGTCAAAGTGCCAGCCCAGGCTGTGATGGGCAGAACAGCCTTCTTCTGCCATTCCATGGTCTTTGTTCAGCTTTCAGTGGAGTATGAGGCAGTAAGGAAAATCGGCCATGAGTGGGGGGCAAGGGCCTGATAGCAAACTGAATCCTGAAACTCTCATTGGAAACATGAGCCAGAGAGTAACCGTCTCTGCTTCCTATCTTAAACAGCGTGCGTACCAAGCTCTCATTAAGCTAAGGGGCTATGACGCTCACCACAGCCTGCATGAACAAATAGCTGGCTACCTGACCACTGAATGATGCACCTGCATTAGAAATTCCTAAAAACTGGGCTAAAATATGTAACCCGTGCAAGCTCGCTCTTCGCAGCCTCAACGTTGAGCTCTGCAATTCCAATTCAGGCAGTTAGAGAAGAGACAAAGCACAAAATGGAGCAGAGGCGCTGGCCAGGTCAGGCACAGTCTGTTAAACATCTTTTATTATGGATTATGGAAACTCACTTCATGGGGTGTTATCACCTCACTGTCCGCTGACTAAAGGGATACTGTCATCTTTGAGATATCCTTTTAAGGAGACAGCCCACATTATTCACTGTTTTCCTTAATTGTACTTCACATCTTGTGACTGGGTGATCCTTTGTAGAATACCGATGCTCTATCTGTAACAATGACCCTGAGTGTCCAGTTGCCACTTTAACCTACCACCCTGTTCCTTGGCCAAGATCTCTGTCTCAGGCTTGCTGCAGTGTTCCAGCGAAGCTCAATGCAAACTGGAAGAACAGCACCTCATGTTCTGCTCAGGAACTCCGCACCCTTCTGGACTCAGTATTGAGTTCAACAATTTTAGGGCTTGAGGCACCTTACCCCAACCACCGCACACCAGACCTTGTCACCACATGGGCTGCTATCACAAATAACTCAATGTCAGCCAGTAACAGGCCCCAGTAGCAGCTATTCATTCTCCCAGCTTGACCTTTACCTATACCCTTGTCTGCCCAACTCTTTTTCTCTCTTGTTGGGCTCCATCTCCATCCAATGTTTACTCCTCCCCTCTCCCTATCTTCTGCATAAATACTAAACTTTTCCCAGCTACCATCAGTTCTGAAGAAGGGTCACTGGACCTGAAATGTTAACTCTGTTTTCTCTCCACAGATGTTGCCAGACCTATTGAGTGTCTCCTGCAATTTCTGTTTCTGTAATAAGCTGTGAGTTGTGTCAGGAAGCAGCACACTCAATGAACACTGGAGTGTTTGGGCTAGAAGCGCCATTGCAACAACCAAGTACACAATGGAGGCAGTCCCTCCTGCTTAAAAGATGGGCTTGAAGTACAGTGCCGTCCAATAGAGAAGGTGAATGCTAACAGGTATTTGAATTTGCTCTTGTACAGTCTGTGCAACCACACTGTTTCAACTCCGGTTATTCAGTACACTTGCTTTTTTAGTGACACCCTTCCTGAAAGGTGGTTCCAGAGTTGGATGCAGCATTGTCACTGAGCCAGTCTTTTCAAAAATACATTCATTCACAAGATAAGGACCTTGCCAGTCAGGCCAGCACTTATTACCCATCCCTAATTGCCGAGAGGGCAGTTAAGAGTCAGCCACATTGCTGTGGGTATGGAGTCACATGTAGGCCAGGTAAGGATAGCAGTTTCCCCTAAAGGAAGGGCATTAGTGAACCAGATGGGTTTTTCCCAACAATCAGCAATGGCTTCATGGTCATCATTAGATTCTTAATCCCAGATATTTTGTTGAATTCAAATTCCACCATCTGCTGTGGTAGGATTTGAACCCAGGCTCCATGACCATTGCCTGGATCTCTGGATTAACAGTCCAGCGATAACACCACAAGGCCAATGCCTCCCCAGTAACTTATAAAATGTCAACTTAGTTTCTTATGTTGCCATGGCTCGGAGGTCAACACTTCTGTCTCTGAATACAAAGGTTGTGAGTTTGGGTCGAACTCCAGATCTCTGGCTGACACAGTCCTGAATGATACTCCAACGCAATACTGAGGGAGCGGTGGACTATCAGGATGTGTCATCCTTCAGACAAGACAATAAACTGAGGCCTTATCTGTCCTCCTCAATGCATATAAAAGATTGCAAAGCACTACTTTGACAGAAAGAAACAAAAACTTTTTCTGCCATGTCCATCTCTATCCCTCAACAAACTAAAATAGATCATCTAGTTATTATTACACTGCTGTTTGTGGGAACCTGCTGTGCCAGAATTGGCTGCTGTATCTCTTGCTTTACAACTGTGGCTGCGCTTAATTGGATGTAAGGTGCTTCGGGGTGTGTTGAGATGTGAAAGAGGCTATAGAAATGCAAGAAGTTTCCTTCTCTCCCTGATTAGGTGGTACAGGTGGCTCAGTGGTTAGCACTACTACCTCTCAGTGCCAGGGAC